TCTATCTAATATTGTGTTGGTCATACTATACAATGATTTATAGCTTGTCTTTGTTGAATAATACAGAACATAAAGAGCTTTAAAAAAAAAAATTGCGTATTAAATCGCAATCGCAATATTGGTAAAAAAAAAATCGCAATTAGATTATTTTCCAAAATCGTTCAGCCCTAGCACACCTGTATGGAGCCGTGGACAGCTGACATGGGGTGACTCTGTTGGTTTTACCCATCTGTCACCAGGCTTGCGCTATAAAATGCGCATTGCTGCATCTGGGAGGGACGTCAAGGTCCAATTCTTGCTGTGTTTTTATAGGCCGAGACAAGCCCTGGATTTAGCTGAAGGATTTACTGTAGTTCTGTATTGGCCGCGAGGCAGACGGGAAATGGAAAGATGTCAGGACCTGCCGCAATGCATGAGACACAAAAGCTCCACTGGTGGAGAAAACTATCCCTAAATCTCGGTTTCTGCAGTCATTAATGGGTACATTAGCATAAAGGTAATTTAAAACCATTCTTCCTTTACCTCTCACTGTCTTTGTCACCTTCAGCCTCAATGTTTTCCTTTTACTTACAGCTAAGAAATAAAATTTTGGTTCTCACTAGAATGCATCAGTGCAACTAAATGCAGTATGCTTCTGGTACTAATACTCTGAAACAATCTAGTAATGTCAACACCAGTAAAGGTTTGGACACACTGACTAGTGGGGCTTGCTTCATCAAAACATCACTATTAGTATTGCTCTGACTTTTTTTTTTATTAAATCCTTAACACTTCTAACCCAAAATTTTGGCACATAACTGCAATGTTTGTGTTATGGACATGAAAGATAACTTTAAATCATGTGGCTGTAAATTTACCTGCACAGACAAATTCTAACATTGTGGTTCTGTAGTTTTTAATAGCAATCATCACTCACATTTCCTCCATTTTTGTATACGTGTCTAGATTTGCATTATTTTAAGGGGGTCTGAATACTTTCCGTACACACTGTATATTAGTGCTGTCAATTGATTAAAAA